AGGAAGAGAGGAAGGCCACATGCCAGATGGATGGGCTCTATTAAGGAGTCACTTTGGGTATTAAGGGGTTATAGGAATTAAGCAGAGCAGTGGAGGACAGAAGGCCTTAGAGATGTCTCATCCATAGGGTCACCATGAGTTGAGATTGACTTGAGGGCGTTGTTTTTGGGAATCTCTAGGTGTTTAACAACAAAGAAGAAGTGACCATATAAAGTTGAAAACTACTGGTAATGCAAATGAGTTCAAGGTATCCACTGGGGTTTGGTTCCAGGATCCTCCTTGGATACCAAAATCTGTGGATGCTCAAATCCCATAATGGCATAATAAAATGGTGGCCCTTATATAAAACAGCAAAATCAAGCTTTGCTTTTGGGAATTTTTTATTTGTGAATATATTTCGAGCCATGATGGGTTGAATTTGTGGGTGCAGAATCTGCCGATATGGAGGGCTGACTATTAAGAATACTTTGTCAGTGATAACTTCCGCCAGGTTTGTGTTTGGATCCTGAAAACGTCTCTTATGTACTGTTCACAGGAGCCTCTCCCAGCAACACTGTCAGATCATGTAGCATCACACACTGCATTTAAAATGTGTGTTATGGACTCAAAGATGTGTTCGTCAAACAGGTACATTTTTCAGAGTGTGGGATCTGAGTGTTGCAGCACTCTGTTGAACATCCACTTTGGTTGGCAAACCCAGATCGGTTTGATTCTGTGTAACAGCAATAGCAAGAACATTTCTATACCGCTTATCAGTGCACTTAAGCACTCTCTGAGTAGTTTACAATCTGTGAGCCAATTTCCCTGAATAAGTTGGGTCCACAGAGGATCACGATTCCTCTGTCTGAGAACCAGGATTTTATCACACCAGCCTGCTGTCCCCACACAATTGTGCTAGTTTAAGAATGGAAACATACTGTGGGGTGCAATTTTGATTTCCCGGGGTGTTAACCCTTTTAAAGGTAAACTAAAATATGCAGGTATGAAAGTTAAACTTGTTAAAGAGTTCAACTTTGATCAGCAGAGCAGCAAAAAAGTGGGCAAGGCTATATGATAATGATAATAATAATAATAATAATAATAATAATAATAATAATAATAATAATAATAATAATATGATTTATTTCTAGCCCACCTATTTCCAAAGGGAATCAAAGCGGGTTACAAGCCTTCTTAATATGCCTTCTTATAGAATAAAGACTAAATCAAAAATGACAAAATAAGGGCTTTAGTAAATATCTACATAAAAGAACTAAAACCTAATCTAACTGGAGATGGTTTGGGTAAGCACAGAAACCATTGCCATCTTTTATTCAGAGACTGCAACTGACTGCTTTCTGGCAGTTTAGAATCTTCAGAGAAAGACAGTTGGCCTTAAAGAGAAGAGGAAGGGAGGGAGGCCCTGTTCTATATCATGAGGGGAAAGATAGGTTTCTTCCAACACATACCAATTTGGTCTTATTTTTTAATCACACTTTCCCCCATGATAGCACTGGTGATCCATGGTTGTGTGATCGGTTTTCCACACTGCCAAATGCCACCCGTGTGAATGTGCCGCTCTTCCAGACTTTGGGAAGCTATTGGCAGCGGCAGTCGCTGTTCCTCTCCCCTCCTGAAATGGTGGGTTAATAATAATAATAATAATAATAATAATAATACTTTTTATTTATATCCCGCACCTCTGCAGAGCAATCGGGGCGGCTTACAACATTACAATTTCCATTAAACAAATAAAACAAATAAAATCCCGAATCCTACCCATCCTAGATCTCCATTCTCCATGTTCACACATCAGCCCACGCTTTGGGAGGAAGCCATCCCAGCTACCAACTGCCTCTCAAAGCCGGCTGCTACGTAATTGTACACGCAGCAGCCAGCTTTGGGGAGGCGTTGGTGACCACAGTTACTCCTCTTCTCTCTTCCTTCACATAGATAGCACTTCACCCTGCGCTTCAGGAGAAAAGGGGAGGCAAGCGATCAGGGCTGCCATACACCTCCTGAAGCCAGTTGCTGTGTGATTTTGGGAAGATGTTGGCGGTGCGATCACTGAGAGGAGGAGAGGAGCAGAATAATGCCCACTCACCTTATGTCACTGCCTGAGAAGCAGAACGGCCATAGAAAGGACCTGTTGCACAAAGGTAGTAATGGAATAGCAGCAAGATGGAGAGCCCATTGACAGGTTTTGCCTGTCAGTGAAAAGATGCACTACGGTAATGTATGGAATGCAAGACGGCAGCAGGACAGACATGGTGTTGTGTGATAAGTACTGGGCAAAAATGTTTTTGTCCTGTTAAAATTCTGCTTTTTAGCCTCGGGTGATAAAGTCCCCAGAGGCATTGTGAGGAGGCATTGTCTGAACCAAGTAACAGCAGTGCATCTCTTGATCCTCATCTTCTATATGAGATATAAATGAAGTTGCTTTGCTTTGCTTTGCTTTGCTATCTCTGAATCCAGCTGCTGGGCATTTGGAACTGCCTTCATTCCTGAGCCAAGACTTGTAAATTTTGACAGGTAGTGATTCCCTAGAAAGAGTATTTTTACCTGAGATCCTGGGAATGCCAAGGCATGAACATGGGATTGTCAACTTGTGGTTCTCCAGATGTTGCTGGATTTTCACTCATTCTCCCTGACCATCAGCTATGTTGGTAAAAAAACAGGAAAATTGGTCCAGCAGCTGGGGGGGGGAATCAGTTGCCCACACCCTTCTTAACCTCTCATCCCATATTCTGAGCTATGGATATGATCCTGAAGATCTCTCGCAAAGCAAGAAATGGAGAATGTGACCTTGCCAATATGTCTAGACTGCAAGTTTCATCATCCTTCACCACTGACTTTGTTGACTAAGGCTGGTGGAAATTGCATTTTATAACAGCTGGAAGGCCACACGTTCCCTGCCCAGGTTGTAAAGGACACTCTTCCACAAATGGGCATTGATGATTTTGAATGGCCCAAGACTTGTTCTTAGGTGCACAGCTTTAGTGCCTTATTTTATCCTACAT